AGGTAAACTTGGCCTATATCCAGAATGTTTTTGTTGACCTTGAATTCGTCACTCTCAAAATACGTGGGTTGATATTGAGACGGAGGTCATTGGCTGGACCAAAGTTTAGGCTGAAGTGTGAATATTTGTGTTGGATGGCAGGCAGGAAAATTGTATTCCTGATTTTAGCTGTAATTCTGGAGACCACCAAAGCCTACACCTCATATTTAAGTCTCCCAAAAAGCCATTCTGGATCTCAGCAGTTTAAACTAGTTAATTCCATAGAATATACGTGGTGTATTAACAAAGTGATGCGGTTAATTTTGTATTGCGAGAACTGGCAATACTGCAGCGCCGAGACCGCTACGAGATGGTAGCTATTATTATTATTATTATTAGAGGGGGTGGGTTTCCCCATGCACTTAGACCAGTTATTGGTCCATTGTGCGTCCCCCTTTAATTTCTACTGTCCCCATACCCTACCGGTACTGATGCGTGCTATCAGCCCCGTTCAGCCAACGAGGTCGGCCTTCGGTACCTGATATTTCCCCCCCCTCCTCTCCCAGAGGCATTGAAAACTACTTGGGCGGGAAATTGTCGGCTAATTTTTCTCAGAAGTCTCCTAGAGACAGGATCTTTTACGTACCGTAAATCTACGACACGGGACCCACGGCTTAAAGTCCCTCCCGGAGGACTTGTTCTCTGAATTTTTCCGCTCTTAAAAATTCCACAACCTCTGCCGGGTTTGAATCCGCGTACCTTGAGTCATGAGGTGGGAACGTTACCCCTAGACTACGGAGGCCGCTAGATGGTAGCTACACCCCTCGTCTACGTCCAGTTCAAGTTTCAGATTGCTAGCATTAACACGTGGTTCTCTTGTGGTTCGTGCAGATGTACGTTTTGTTACAGCGCCACAAAACTGGAGAAGACAATCGCGAGCAACGTTATGCAACCAAGTTTTGTGTCAGGCTGGCGAAGTGCGCTACCGATACCTGCGAAAAGATTCAGAAAGCGTTTCGTAATGATTCTGTATCGCGTGCTCAAGGATTTCGGGGGCACAGAGGCTTCGTAAACGGGCGAGAAAAGGGTGGAAGATGAACTTATTGAATGTACCGGATGCCAAATTGTTACACAAGATGTGTACACGAGAAATCTATATGCATAGATGGTTCCAAACTGTGAAAGATGATCAAAAAAACGTGTCGAAACGAAGTGTCAGCAGAAATGCTTGAATGGCTCGAAATTGAAACAGATTTTCTTAATCGGGTCATGACAAGTAACGAAGGTTGCTTTGTCGAATATGACCCTGAAACCGAGAAACAGAGTGAGGAACGGCACACGCCACAGTCTCCAAGACACAAGAAAGCTCCCATGGGCAAATGAAAAACTCAAGATAATGGTCACCATTTTTTTATTCTCACGGGGTAGTTCACAAAGAATTTGTGCCACCTGGCGTCACAGAGAATCAAAAATATTATCTGCAAGTCCTGGACAGTCTGAGAAAGAAGGTGATGCGGGTTGGGATGGAAATTGCAGACAATTGGATGCTTCGAGCTTCATCATGACAACGCGGTCCCACACAGCATTGTCAGTCCTTGAATTTCTGACGAAAAAGTTCATTCGTTTGCTTCCTCAGGCTCCATATTCTCCGGATTTGCCAACTTGAGAGTTTTACTTTTTCCAAAAATTAAAATCGAGAGTCGAGGGCTATCACTTCCAAACACTAGACAGCGTTCAGAAGGCTGCAACAGACGCCTTCAAGACCCTAACAGAAGCTGACTTCCAATCCTGCTGTGAGGCGTTGAGAATTCGCTGGGCCAGGTGCCTTGCATTAGATTAATGTTAATTTGAAGGGGAGAATTTTGATTTAGACAAGTAATTGAATAAATGATTTTGTACAAAATTAATCTCAGCTGCTCAAGAAATAACATGGCTTTTATGGAACTCGAAGTTTCGTTATAGAGTTCATAAGAACCCGCTATTGCTCCCTGTCTAGAGCCAGATGAATACGGTCCAGACCCCCAGACCCTACCCCGTCGAGGCCAAAAAAATATATAACTAAGAAAAAAAGCTATCCCTATAAGAGGTTGTGGAGGCCCATGGGGTTGTGAGACGTCGAGGTTCACACATGTTCTCTAGATAGTCGGCTTACAGATGGCGGTGAGTTTGTAAGTCTTACGCGCCGGCAGCCCTTTACCCCCCATGAAGATTCCTGGTACTCATTTCTGTTAGAAGCTGAGTAAACCCCAGGGCCATTGTGCGGCGTACATGTTAATGTTACTAGTGGGACAGCCTCGTTGAATATACAGCGGAATTCATCATATAAATATTTCTTCATATCCAACCCTACTTTGTCCCATGTTTCGTTCAGAAGCTTTGGTTTAGTTCTACGTTGAGGCGCCTGACGATTACCGCCATCTGTCAGACAGAGACAAGAACTACGTACACAGACACACACACTGTTATAAACGGTCTCGTATGATATATAAATCCTCCAATCAACGCCTAGATTTCCCAAACGGTCTTTTTACGTTAGGTTTTACGATCAAAATTTTGTGTGCATTTTCATCCTAACGATGTGTGCAACATGCTCCGACAACCTCACTGTCTTTATTTGACTGCTTGCCTTGGATGGAGTGGGTTGGCATAGCGGCAACGTTCTTGACTCGTATTCGGGAAGTGTTCGGTTCGAATCTCGGCCAGAGCACAGCCTGTCCTGTTTTTTCGTGGTCTTCCACGCAAATGCCAGGGTACTACCTGAGTTAGGCCACGGCCACTTCCTTCCGAATCTTTCCCATTTCATTATTCGTCTAGAATCCTACCACTCGATGTTATACAGATCGTTCAATGATCGAGGAAACCTGGGAGCAGCTCACAGCTGGGCGAAGAACGCAACCTGCGAAGCTCCTTATGAGACAGGTTCCCCCAAAGTCCTCCTCAAGTGCATGAGAACCGAACTTCTCTTTTCAAATGCTCTGTCAGGCATTGGCCATTGTTTAGTAGTGTTACGCCATGGCGCTGCTTTCGCTGCCGCACTCAGAAATCCCAAGTCACGTGTGTCGCGTTTTAAAGAGTGTTTAGGAAATTATTGAATTGCAAAAGAAAGCAATGTAGGCAAAAAAGGAAAGGATGGCACACTGGCAGCATTTAATTTGCACTTAGAACAGTCTGAGCGGCCTCCGTAGTCTAGAGGTAACGTTCCCACCTCATGACTCGTAGTACGCGGGTTCAAACCCGGCGGAGGTCGTGGAATTTTTAAGGGCGGAAAATTTCAGGGAACAAATCCTCCGGGAGGGACTTTAAAGCCGTGGGTCCCGTGTCGTAGATTTACGGCACGTAAAAGAACCTCATATCTCCTAAGGAGGTCACTGAGCCAAATTTAAGGACATTTCCCGCCCAACAGTAGTCTCTAATGCCTCTGATAGATGGGGGAAAAGCATTGTAGATACCGCCAAGCCAGTAGAGGCCGAACTCGCTGGCTTGGTCGGGATTGATGGTAAGCACCAGTATCGGTAAGGTATAGAGACTGGTGGAATATGATAGAGGGAAGCACAATAGATCAAACTGGTCGCGGTGCATGGGGAAACCCACCCTCTCTAAATAACCAACTAACTAACTAGAACACTCTGCCTAGTCTTCGAATTACATGGGAGTGTGTGTGTGTGTGTGGAATGGTTGCATCTGGCTCAGGGTATGGAACAGTGGAGGGCATTTGTGAACACGGTAATGAATTTTCGGATTCCATAATATGCTGAAAAGTTTTGAACAACAATTAGCTTCTCAAGAATTCATTTTGGTCTTTGAAGTACAGCGCTGCAACTCAGGAGAGTGTCCATTTAGCGTTACTAGATTCGTGTACAGAAGGAAGTAGGCTAAAATGACCACAAAGAGAATTCGTTTAACTAATTAGCCTGGATAGCTCAGTCGGTATAGGGACGTGCTGCGGGCTGGACGGACGGGTCTCGATGCCCTGCAAGGGCACAGAGTCCAGATTGGCTCTGGGGCTCACCCAGGCTCCTGTTCAATAGATAAGGGGGCTCTTTCCCAGGTGGTAAAGTTGCCGATGTGCGAAGTTGTCTACGAAACTCCGTCTAGTGCCGAGGTCAAGAATAGTGGAGCTATACCTCCGCTCCCCATATGTTTTTATAGCATAGTGTTTAATTGATTAATCACAAGGACAACTTTACCATTACATTTTACATTTAATTATATGATTGAGAGTCGCCGCTCTTAAGCATGAGCTGTAAGTATGATTTATTTGCTAGAAAGATTTTCTTGAAATTTCAAAATCGTGTGTGGGGGGATATTCATTGTTTGGTGACTCAAGAGCCGACACTCCTTTGACATGTCCGCTTCTCGTGCGTATACGAAATGGTAAGGGCATGTATGCATATCCAGAAGTTGGGGGGGGGGGTTACCAAAACGGCGTCATCAGTTCTTAACATTCCTAATATCAGCACTGATTTGGGGTAGTGTGGAAGAGGGAGCATTGAAACGTATTGTTTTTAACGGTCTCAGCAGTCTATGGAGGGACCGAAAAAATACAAAAAAATCTAGACGTGATGTCCGATATCAGGATTCGTGGATGTCTCACCAGTGAAGTAAAACGCATGACATTAAGTTGTGGTTGTCGACGTTTTCGCCTACTGTAGCACCTAATCCTTAAAATTATCTCCATTTTCTAGGATGCCAAAGTACGTGATCATTTTTATGAACATTTTAAGAAAGACGGGTGATTTCACTTGCTTGTGGAGCAGCGTGCATTCATTTCCGAAAATAACGCAGTCTTGGACTAATTTTGGATCTCCCGGGCTTGGTCCTCTAAAAATAGATCAACTTCAGTGTGTTCGCTCCGTCACGTGGCCAAATATGGGCCAGAGGGAGGTGCTACCAACAACCCCTCAATAATGACGTAGCGAGGAGGTATGGAAGGGTGGCAGCTTAACTTTCCAACCATATATTCAAATTATACCACAGTGAAAGCAAGCAAGTTAAAGTGTCCGGTTTTAATCGACGGTATTAGCGATTTCACCGTTGTGCCAAAATCAGAGTCAAAACTAAGGCCATGATTGCAGTGCGCAGACGTGAGCGGTCTTCTTCAAAAATAACAACGGTAACTCAGTCGTACGCGTCTTACGGGAAGGTTAGTCGAACTGGAAGGAAGAAGCCATACGATTCACATAGCAACCGCAGTGCGCGACCGCGCTCTCTGCCAGTCAGGGTTAAATCTGTTGGTGGTAAGCACGGCCGAGTGGCGGCGCTCATATCTGCGACCACACGGCCAGCAGTTCAAGATGGCAGGCATCGTGTGGTTAAGGTGGTAAGGACTATGGCTGACAATAACACAAGGAAACGTGGTTTGCAGGCAACAGTATCGTCTTCGAGAGGACGTGGGATCACCATTTCGGAAGGAGTTCGTTACCAGTCACTACCTCAACAGCTTCAAACGGCAACAGATAATGCCACAACAAGTGGCAATAGTAGGACCACAACACCAAAGACAAGAAACAAAACGAAACGAAAGACACCACGACATAGTGAAACCTGTAGAAGTGTAGAAACTGTTGCGCACCATACATTAAGTGATATTGTTGATAGTGACATCACTAGTATAAGTACACGGCCGGCAGCGGAAGGAAGCAGTCACAGTGACCACGAAGAAACCGTAGATGCAGACCCAGAAACAGAGGAACTCGCAAAGCTCAGATGCCCGAGTGAAAGGACCGAAGTTATTGCTGAGAGGGAAACACAAAGACGGAGGAGATGTGCCGACTATCCCGGATTCGCCTTCGGGTGTTCGATATTTGCTTCCGATACGCTTATGAAATTCAGCATCATCCGAAACGAACTTCAGAACATTAAAAACTCACAGCTTAAAAGGGTCAGTACACTGGTTTTCCTATACAAATGATTCTAAGCGTCACAGAACATCTGATTAGCTTTGAGATACTAATTCACTCAGTCAAACTTTGCCCTCTGTTGATGAAGTGGAAGTGGGATCGAGTGGGATGACGTACTTGTCTCGTGTCGTAACTTTCGTCACGTGACTGGTAGGGGCGGAGCGATGTTCACTTCCATGATGTCACATCCGTTTGAGGGCTGTACACTTCTGCAACGACGGAAAGATTTTGAGATATTTTTCGGACTTCGTAGAAAGTAGAGGGAATGTGGCACATAAATTTCATATAATAAATATTTACCCACAACCTTAAATATTTTTGCATCGTAAACGTACGCTATATAGTCCTATGTGGTAATCAGTTTCTTTGGATGTGTGTGCAATAGGGGCGTGGCGAAAGTACCGTTGGAGCCCCTGTGAACTCCCACTTTTGTCGTCAAAGTAAAAAACGGTTGTTACATTTGCAATAAATTCTGGCGTAACGATCGGAATTTGGAATATGTTATAAGTATACTTTAGTAAATAAGTTCCAGTCTCACAGGAAACGTCTGTGGTATAAAGGCCAATCACATAATGCAGTTTGGGAGGAAAAATATTCTTTATTTTGAGAATTGTTGGAAACATTTAATTACTCCGTAATGGGGGGGGGGAAGATGCAGTGTTCGTTAATATTATTAAAGGGGTGGTGCGTGTAGTAACCAGAGTGTCTCAAAGGCTTATGTAACTTGGAAAAATATGAATTAATACCAGAACTCTAGAATAGAGACTGTTTTAATTGAAGTGATGAAAATTTATAGGCAGAAGTTGATTTTGCCCACGAAGTGTCTTTGCCACCATGACACAAGTGTGGGGCATTAGCTTGTAGCTACTGTTCTAAACAGGTTTTGAAGAAAATTTTGTATGTGATTTGTTTAATGCAAGACAAGCAGAAGCATCTAATATGTCTTGTACTGTGTATTATATACCTGTCTCCTATAGCTTGTTCTCTAATTAATCTGCTTAAAGTTGTCAGTTGTGAACCAGAATTTAAATTGTTAATTTTGTACATGTTGTATCTTGGAAAAAGATTTAATATACTGTCAGAAGCAGAATTTAATATTTTAATATTCTTGCATAATTAGATTTGAAATCCAGGAAAAGGTTGATCACTTACTGACAGCTGTTGAAACAAGTAACGTGTACCTCATGATACCCTAGCAAAGCATATCTCAATAGAAGTCACTCTCAAAATATGCATTCACTTATAAAATAGCATTTCTGTTCAGGTAATGCATTTGAGGAATTTAGCCATTGAACATGTAAATAAGAGGATTCAGGGAAGTAAGGTATACAGAGAAAAAAAAAAGAAATTTCAAGACTAGCAGAGAGAAAATAATAACATCTGGAAGCTGTGTACAAACATCTTACTGGCCATTAGCTACTGTCTGGGGCAGGCCTGCATAAATTTCCAGCAAGTCTGAGGGGCACTTCCAGGGACTAGGAGTCAAAATAAAAAACATATCTCAAGCGAGAATTTCAATTATACTGAGAAATGGACAATGAGAACATCTCCATATAAATAATAATCACATTCTGTCATGCTTGGGGAAAGCCAGCGCAGCACTGCTGTAGTAGGATTTCTATACGAAGGCAAGTAAAGCAGTGGTTCGCAACCTTTGCCAGACTGCAGCCCTGTAAATTCCTTTTTCTATAAGACGAGGGCCTAACTGATGCCAGGGTCTTGTGATTGAGATACACTGGAGTAAAGGAATGATGCACTTTGGCAAGGAATTTTGTCCTGTGCTCTCTCTCTGTTTGCAGCTGAACCAGTCTGCATGAGGCAAATACTGCCCTTGTTTGCATGTAGAGTGTCGGCATGTGTTCTAGGATACATAGAGGAAAGGAAGAATGAGTGTGAAGGAACTGCGTTATTGTATGGGAGATGGAGGTAGGAAAGGGGAGAATAGATGAAAAGGATGAAAAAGTAATGACAGAGAAGGGAGGAAAGGAAGAAGCAAATGTTACTTGTAATATAATAAGAAAGAAATTCAGAGCATCATCGTGAAAATTTTAGGCACCAGGGCATATGGAATTTGTGCAGGTGCGTTTGACATACGCAGTGTTTTGGAAATGGGAATTGTCAGATGTTAGGAAACCGATCTCTTTCAGTTGGGACTTTTAGAAAGAACTGTTCCCAGTCACTGGAAGAATTTCTGAAGCAGTGTGAATATCAGATATAACCCATACAGTTGGTAGCAGCCATCATGTTGTTATAATGATTGAGCCATTACCACAAACACTTTGAGAATCACATTAAATCATTTTGTTCATAGACATGGTGGTTGTGCACTGATACCCAGTTTGTGGGTGACACTTGAAAGATGGCTATGGAGGAATTTTCTACCCTGATGTTGTACCATTGTTGAGTGGTTTGTACCATTCATATGATTTTATCCAGAGTAGATAATAATTAAGTTTTATGCATTGTTGGAATGACTGTGCTTCACAATCACTTTTTTTTTTTGCATTAGAATGGCTACACATATGTACAACAGACACATTTAATTCTAAATATGCTGGGAATATAATATTGAGCACCTGTAGTTTTTAGAAAAGGCTTGTGTCAAAGCAGTAGGAAAGTATACTCACCCTAAAACACATTTGAATCTGGCCAGTGGTTAGACATTGAGTCTTCTTACCATGGAGATACAGGTTCAGCCTGTGAGCATTTGATGTGGGATTTGTTGTAAACAAGGTTTTTAAGCCCCTCCCACCAGTTTACTAGTGCTCTGTGATCCAATAGTATCTGTCCTAGCAAGTGTGACAAGGCTGACCAACTGTCAGTATGTTAGACTTGAAGTTATTAGTTTGAGCTTGACCCCAATGTGAGCAGCAAAAAATAACCCACAGTATTTATGAGGATGGAGTCGGAATAAAGCAACTTCTGTCCCTTACAAGATCAAGAAAGTGCATGCTGGCAGCAAGATAGCTTTTCTCATTAAAGAGATCTCAAAGAAACATTTGTTATCAAATATTTGGTCACATGATTTACACAAATTACATTGCCTGCAATATTTATGGAGATACCCCAGGACCTCCATTTGTGTTATCACAGATGTTTTCCCCTAACTGATGCAGACTGTAGCTTCTCTGAAGCTGCAATTTTGTGACCCAGTAGTTAAGCATTATATAATGGCCTGTTATTTGAATCACATTTTACATCAATTAGTTTTGCTTAACTGATTCATTTTACCTTCAGTTAAGAGAGCAAATTTGTTCTGTGCGAACTGAAATAGAAACAGGAATATGAAATGTGTGTCAGTGCAGTGTAGGTAAGGCACACCATATGCTGACAGTGCTTGTGGATTTCATGGTGAAATTATTCACAAAGTGTTAATATTGGCTGAAATTTCAGTTTTTCTTCTCTGACCAGACAGAGTAGGTTTCGTATAGAATTTTGCATGGCAAATCTTTGAAAAACAAAGAATATGCAAAGATTAAGATCTTATGGGATGTGGCATGTGATTTGGTTGATATGTACCTTGCTACACAGCTGTCTTCCCAGAAGATTCTATGTAATCTTCATATACACTGACTGGAGAACCCAAAATCTTGTAAGAAAATAATGACCTCCAAAAACTAATCATGTCTATAAATAAATACAGCATGATACCTGCTAATTTCAGCATTAGTTACCATGGATACCTGTATTAAGAAATTATATTTACGCGTAACTTTACATCCACTTTTTATACCTTTGAATTCCCATGAATCTATGTGTACCAGTAAATGAATTACAAATATGGCAGTAGTTATATTGAAGTATTTGCCTTCACTGTGGGAATACGGTAGGGGATGAAGTTGTTTCTCCTCCTCCAAGTGTGAGGTAGGTACCATCTGGCAATACTGTTACTGCTTGTTGACTGTAGAAACTGGGGGTGAGTGATATGTAGGACTTTATATCATCTGCCAGCTGTTAATGATGCTTGTAGTGTTGAATGTTATGGTGAGCAGTGCATTGGGAGTGGTCATTGCCAAATTTAGTGTATTATTATGGCATTGAGCAGAGGGATGAAGGAAAGCTGCAAAAGCTCCAGGCAGAATATACAAACACTGTCCAAAGTTAAGCTTGTCACCTAACGGCACCGTGATTACTAAAATGAAATTTACTGAGTAATAGCTTATTAAGTAACGTGCCAGTTTGTGGGCTTCTACTATGAGCATCTGATAAGTTTAATTAATCTCTTCATCATTGATACACTATCTGCCACTTATTATAATAGTGTTTTTCATCTCATTCATCTCTACCCATTCTTTATTAACGGGGCCTTGCCTCCATAATGACGTGATGTTTTAACACAGGGTAATTAAAATAGTGAAAAAACCACAGCTTTGATCAGGATGGAATGGTTAACCCAGCAAGAGCTTACTAGTATATAATACTTTATTATTATTATTTAAAATTATATTTCAAGTAGTATGCCGACATGTTAGCGCAGCATAGTTGTCAGTATTCCGTATCTTTTGCAGTGTAAATTGTTAAATAAACAGATGCCCTCGTGTTTTATCTTTCTTTAATGCCGTAGTGTACTGTATTGTCCGTAATTACGGGCGCCGTCAGGGAGGGAGCAATCCAGGTAACGTCCCCCACCCCCGGATTAAAGGAAAATAGGAGGAGAAAGAAAAATAAAAATAAAATTGAAAATGTTCAAAATGAAAAATCTTTTATCCTGAATACTCTAAGAGCCGTAAAAAAATTTGTCATCGGCTTCAGCTGAAGTTTTTAAGTACAATTTCTTCCAACTCCCACCCCAAAGGAAGAAATTCTGGCGGTTTCCGTGCCCATTATAGAATTTGGTACTGTGCATTCCAGCCATGCATGTATGTTGGATTCTGCGTTCTTAATTCCCGCCGCGCACTGTTCTCCGTAAGGCAGTGGTAAGTCTACACAATTTGTCTTTGGCAACCAAACACTGCCATAAAAGGAGAATCGCTGATGTACG